TTTTCTCACAGTCGGTCAGCAACCGTGAACATTGCTCAAAGTGTGAAGGGCAAACACATCCACAAAGATAATAATAATAATAATAATAATAATAATAATAATAATAATAATAATAATAATAATAATACATTTTATTTGAAGGTGCCTTTCATGGCACCCATGGAGATAAAACAATAGTACAATAAAATATATAATGCGGTAAAAAAGAAAAGAATAAAACAACAGATAAGAATAACAATAAAACATTGTACATAACTAACCAGATGTGACGAGAGATGAAGATTGTATTGAATATGCCTGTTTAACAAGAAGAATTTTGGATTCATGTTTTTAAAAAATAAAGATGGCGGTGTTAGCAGGTGGTAAGAATTAAAAAAAACAATGCAATTTTCACCACACATCCTTGTCAGTGGGGCTTTTATTGAGGATAAACCAGGCTGTAGTTGAAACTGTTGGACAAACATAAAAGCCTGTGAAATGTTTACTTTTAGAATGACATTTTTTTCATCTGTCAAAGCATAGCTTTGAATCTACTCAGTGGCCTTGGTTCTTTGTTAGTTATGCAATCACATTCTTAGCATGCTTGAATTTGTAGTGTAACAGATGTGAGAGGCCCCAGGTTAAATAGTTTGTTCCCCAGTCAATGTTTGTCTGTCTGACTGCTGTCTCGTTGATAAGCATGTGTCCCCGTGTGACCTAGACGTGTAGCTGGAGCTGTTTGCTAACACTTCTAATCAGTCCAATGTGCTACAGAGCCGCAGATATTCAGTAAGAATGATGCTATTATAGAAGTAACTGACATGTCACCTAGTTCACAGAGGTTGGAGGTCATACAGAGTAGCAGGTCAACCTTCAGTGCCCCATTTTACAATAATGTTTTAAAGTGCATATTGTGCAGCAATACACAGTTCAACCTTGTACATTCCTGGTACTTAGTTGTGTAAAGCCCCCTGTCCACAGTCATGCCTTTAAGCTGTTCTCATCAGTTCAGCCACATCCAAATGTGTCTCCATTTCCAGTTCCTGTCCTGTGTTTAGATCTACCCCAGTGTTGTAAGTATTGTGCACAAACAATGTTGACGTCAGCAAACTGCTGCCTGTGAATTGACTTGACCAAGGTGGAACTTGCAAGCTTCTCCTGGAGAGGGGTGCTATTTTAGGAGACGAGCTTAGGCTCAATGGTGCAGTCCCAAATGAGCAGGTATACCCAAAAGTTTCAGACAAACTGGCCACCCACTGGTATACCCCCACTTATGAACAGTGACAATTAAACAAAAAAATGTCCCACTACCAGACGAGAAAACCACACTGGCCAAAGCCACCCATTGACGATCTGCCCACAATTATGCCCACAGATTGAGGGACACACAGCCGAGGAGACACATACATTTGAATCGAACCGAACAGACATGAAGTGATCAGAGTGAGACTCAACAATGGAGAAGAGGCTTTACAAGTGCCTACCTGGTACTTACTTGTACTTAGTACCTTCAGGGAGAAAGCTGTAATTTAAAGCAACTTGTTACCATGCACTTACCTGGTATGTATCTGATACTAAATGGGTACATACCTGGTTCATACATACCTTGTTATTACAAGGTACACACCAGCTACTTACGGAGGTGCTTACCATGTACACACCTGGTATATACCTGTTACTTGATCTTACTTCATTAATACCTGATCTGACTTGAAATTCAAGAAGGTTTTGTGACAGTTAGTATCAAAAGCATCAAGTTTAAAACATCTTGTTAGAAAAGTTTTTCTTTTTTTTTCTTTTCACTGATGGAAGTTACAAAAAAATAAATAAAGCAGAATCCACATTTCTACATTGTTTCCCATGCTGATATAAAGTTGTTTACCTATGTTGCTGAAGTTTTCAACATTGGTTAAAGAGTTTTGCCAAGTTTTACATTATTTCCAGGCTTAATTTAAACCAGCTGCATAAAGATGAAGAAAAAAAAAGTTTTAACCACATGAGTTAGTTGTGAGTTAACTGCAGCTCTTATTGACATTTTTTTGAAAGGACAGCATGTGCATGTTTTCCACACCTCTGTGTTCTGTGGGGCTCAGACTTGGATGTCTTACAAGTGGACAGAGTCAGAGATAAAGCAGGAGAGCAGGAGTTGTCCTTAAATGACCGGAAAACAAATAACCACTTGGAGCCATGTTTTCACAGTCTTTGACAACACGCTGTCCTCAGATGACACCACACAC